GTGCCGGGTGCCGGTGCTGGTGCTGGTGCTGTGAGCTGGATGTGGACGTGGTGATGGCGGGTGCCGGTGCTGGTGCTGGTGCTGTGAGCTGGATGTGCACGTGGTGGAGACGGGTGCCGGCGCTGGTGCTGCGAGCTGGCTGTGCACGTGGTGGAGACAGGGTGCCAGGTGCCCGTGGGGGTGGCGCGTGGTTGCCGGGTGCTGGGTGCCGGGGGGTACAAATAGGAATCAGCTGGCTGCGCGCGCTTTTGAAAGGGTGTCGGTGCTGGTGCTGGTGTTGTGGTCCTGGGCGCTTTGTCAGCTGGCAAGGCGCACCGGTGCCGGTGTCAGCTGCCTGTGCGCCGCAAGCTGGCTGTGCATTCTTGTTCCAGCCAGTCGCATGTCAACAGGTCGTGGGATTCTGCCTAGCTATCTGGGTCTATGCTGGTGTAATTTTTTGTTATCTTTCAGAACTAAAATCAAGTTGAAAATAAACCTTACTAGAAACAAGGACGCTACTAAGGGCTCCTGGCCTGGCCTTACTACTAGGAACAAGGACGCTATAGGGTTTGAGCAAATTGTGCAAGCCAAGCTCACAGGAGTGGGGTCCGTGCGAAGCCATGCCCTGTGGCGCGAAGAAAGTCCGTGCCAGGACGGACGAGACACGTAGACCGGACGACACCGGGCGTTGGGAGCTCGAGGACAAAGAAAAGCTACTAGCAATGGCCTCCAACCTAGTAGCTGTTTGTTCCTAGTAAGGCCAGGAGCTCCTAGTAGCTTCTTGCTCCTAGTAGCGATGCCTTTTGTTACTAGTAGTTTCTACTAGAAAACTTCAAAGCCATACTAAAAAGTTTCTTGCTACTAGTGGCGATGGCCTCCAACCTAGTAGCGATGATATCTTTATTGAGTCCCAAGAAGATGTGGAAATTTGAGATCGCCCTTGCTGGGCCAAAATGAGGAGATCTATGGGTTCCTGTTAAAGATGCAAAAAGAATGAAAAATGTCTCGAATCGAGCTGCCACCAAAGGTTCTTCCAATCGGGACAGGACACAGCAACCGGCACTCTATGGCGGGAAGGCTTGCGATGGCAACACCAGCCAAGAGGAGGAGTGCATCATCCCCGCTGCTTGGTCAAGATCGGTACGGTAACTCTACATGTCTTTTTTTGGGGGGGTAGGTGGTAGAGACTGGGTAGCTAAGGTAGAAGAGAGGTAGCTACTACCTTACTTAAGCTACTACTAGGCATAGAAGCAGGATAACTCACGCACTAATGATTTGGCTCCCAGTTTTTTAGGGAAACGTAACTTTGAAATTGATTCCAAGCTCTAGCTGATCTAGCTCTCCGCCAAGAAAGATGCTGTGTTGCCCTTTTTTGAAGCACAAGGGACATTTTGGTGTGTCTGGTTTGATGTTGATCTTCATTATGGACCTTTGTAGCAGCAACAAAAGCGTGTTGAGTCTAGGATGAGATCGTTTTTCCGATTTGAGGATGCAAAGATCGTCGAGTGTGATGAGAATGGAAAGCCGGTGACCACTACGACCACAACCACCATCACCAGCATCTCCACCACTACGCTCACCACCACCACTACAACTATCACCAGCACACAAACTACCACCACTACAAGCTCCTTGGATGATGCGGTTTCAGCATTTGGTTTCGTTGTTCTTTGTATCAGCAACCAAACCTTACGACCAATGTTCGCTACTAGGAACAAAGGGCATCGCTGCTAGGAGCAAGGACGCTACTAGGGGCTCCTGGCATTACTACTAGGAGCAAATAGCTACTAGTAGTAATGCCCTACTATAGTTCAATTGGACACTGTTCAATTGCACAAGCTCCGAGGACTCCACTGCTGTCAACTCTTTCCCAAATCAGGTCCACACATCACTGGCACTGTCAGGTCCTTTCCTGACAAAAAATGGCCATAAATCAAACCGGAAGAGTTTCCAAAAGATCATTGAAGAAGGGACTCAGGGACCAAATCCTTATTGTTTGCTTTCCAAATCTGCGTTTTCTTTGCTTCCAATCGAGGTGCAAACATCACGAGCACGGTGCTCAATGACTCGGCCAGCGCTGCCATCGCCGCCACGGTCACAGTGGAAGGCACAGAGGTCTTAGTAGCTCGGAGCCGAAGGCGCAGAACGCGTTCCACGTAAAGGCTGTTTCGCGTTACGGTGTTTGTTCTTTTTTGGTCCTTTTTTGAACAAAACAAACATGTCTCTTTCTTTGCATTCTTATTTGAAGAATTGTCACTTTCACCGAAAAGGAAAAATTGTTGGGAGCTTCCCCATAGAACCCTTGCTTTTCGTCATTGCCACTAGTTAGCTTCCTGTCACGACTAAACGGTTGCTACAACCCATACCTGCCGGTTACCTACCCCACCCACCTCTCCTTTTGGCCAATCCTCCTTTGTTTGTGCTCCAAGGCCAGAGAGACGTTTGAGAAAGGAAGGGTTCTGAACTTACATGTTTGATTCAAGCTGGTTAAGCTTCCCTAAAAGTCTTAGAACCAAATGAATAATGCGAGCGCTTCTTCAAGGAAGCTCCCCCCCCGCCGCCTTTATGGCTGCGGGGGAGCTTTTTTGAAGGAGCGTGAGCTATCCTGCGTCCATACGTAGTAGGTAGCTTACTTGAAGGTACTAGCTATCGTTTGCTTTTGCTAGCTACCTACCTAGCTTACCTACCTCCCTCTACAATCTACCCCCAAAAAAAGAGAATCTAATATGGTTTGCTATTAGGTTGGAGGCCAACGCTAATATATATATATATATATATACCCTCCTCGAGGAAGTGAGCAACGCCAACGACTTCGTGAAGGACACGGAGGCCTTGGAGGCGATCCGAGAAGCGATCGCTCAAGAGGCGCAGGTCTCCACCGACGCCGTGGTCATCATATCGGTCACCATCGTGCAGGACGCCCCGGGGGAGTAGGCCTTACTACTAGGGGCTCATGGCATCGCTACTAGGAGCAAGAAGCTATTAGGGGGTAGGCCGTAGAGGTGAGGTAGTAGCTTAAGTTTAAGTAGCTAGCAACAGGAAGCTCATGCAGGATAGCTCCCATTAGGGTGGCGGGAAGAAGCGCTGGCACTATCCATTTGGTTTCTAGATTCTTAGGGAAACTAAACTTACATGCTATTTGCGACATTCGCAAGCACGTCATGAATGTATCAGGCAGATTCAACTTTGATTAGGTTTAAGGATTGTTTTGCCCGTGTTCTTTAATGGAAACACTTGTTGGATCTATTCTTGTTGAGGGCATCGCGATCCAGGAGTCTGGCGCCTCGCTTTTGTCCTTGGGCTCACGCCCACGACGGAAGCGTCTCGAGTCGCCCAGCGGTCGGGGAGCTTGGAGAGAAGCGCTCCAGGATCTATTTTGCTGACCTACTTAAGTAGGCGCCTACTTAATTAAGTAGGGCAACTAGTTCGCTACTAGACTACGCTAGGCATGGACGCAGGATAGATAGCTCACGCTTCTTCAAGGAAGCTCCCCCCCGCCTGAGGGCCGGAGGAACTTCCTTGAATGAGCGCTCGCACTAATGATTTGGTTTCTAGATTTTTAGGGAAGCTTAAACTTGATGCATCCATGCATCCATCAAGATGCTTTCCATCTGTGTTTGCCGTGTGTACATTTCCTGTTTGCGAGGTCGTGTGGAGATCAAGTACGAGATCATGCCTTTGAACAAGACCGTGGATCAGGTCTTGGACACCTTAGATCAGGTCGACACCGTGGAGGCGAGACGAGACCGAAACTGAAACAAAGAACGAAGAAGAGAGAATAAGCATGACCGTTCTGAGAACCTTATGGTGAATGTGCACGAAGGATCCAACCTAGCGATGGCCTCCAATCTGAAAGCAATGAGTTGCAACCTAATGGTGATGGCCTCCATTCAAGTGGCAGCAACGTCATTCAAAGCTAGAGCATTCAAGTGGCTTATCTTACGACATCTCGAAAACAAAATCTTGTGTGTGTCAGCCTGCGGGCTAGGCTGTCGAGACCTTTGAGACGGCCTTGGCACATCACAATGCCAAGTATGTCGTGGAGGCGCGTATTTTTGCGGTGCTACGGGGAGGCTACAGGTCTTGGATGTGTGTTCCCATTTTTCTAGAAGGCTTGTGAGAGTTTAAGGCCACCGAGGGAGTCAGGGCCCAATCAAGCTTGCAGACCACGTTGACAGTTGATGGTAAAATGCCCGTCTTGGGTAGTCCATGTCACCGTCAGCATAGCTGTTTGAAATCGTGAACATCGTCGTTTGGGCAGCGGCTGCTCAGGTGTCCTCAAGCGAAACAAAGGCGGTCTCAAAGGAGGATGGTCACACGGCACCTTGACTTGGGAGATCTTGAAAGATTGCCTTCATCACAGAACTTAAGATGTTCTACAGCAAGCCTCTTCGGTTTAAGGCTGAGACTAGCCACACAAGAAGCTTGTGTTGATTGGAAAAAACGTCGGGCGTCCTCGTCATTCCCTGTTCATAACGTATCTTGCCAGAAATCTTTCAGAAAGTTAAGAACGCTAAAATTGGACTGCAGAGTAAGGTGGAGGCCATCGCTAGCATTTATGTTTTTACTTTTCTTTCTTCAGAGTAATTGAACC